CACCAGACCCCTTGACCTTGGACTTGCCAGCCTCCACAACCATGAGAAAGAAATGCCTGTTGTTTGAGCGATCCTATGATATTTTGCTAAAGCAGCCTGAGCTGAGCGTCCTCAAGGGACTCAGAGTCACTGCCACTCGTTCCTACTTCATACATGCGTCATGGAGAGATCTACTTCCCTTCTTCAGTGCTTGCTCTGCACAGGCCATGAAAATAAACATTTAAGGTCTAGAGGCCCATGTTTTGCCTTCAGATCTCTAGGGAAAAATTAATTATAAATTTTCCATAGACAACATTGAGCAAAAATAAAGCAGATTTTGTTAAAGCCTTTCTACATTAAAAAAAAAATAGTTTTTAGGAAAATGGTTCCATTAAACAAGTGTTAACTTTCACATTTTTGTTTGAATTGCTTTTGTTCAGCATCCTCCCAAGTGTCCAGCAGTGCTCTAGCTCAGAGAGCCACCTGGGCGTCTCTTCAGGATGCCACTTCTGATTCAGGGGGCCCAAGACTCTGCATTCCTGACAAGCTCCCAGGTGAGGCCCCTGTGCTGAGCAGTAAGGTCTCCAGCCCAGTGAGAACCACCTCTGGCTTCCTCCTGAAATTGCCTGGGGTGCTCTTAAAAAGTATTGATTCCTGGGCCCTCCCCCAAACCAATGAAATCAGACACTCTGGGAGGGGGGCCTGGGCATTTTAGAAAATTCCTACAAAGCTCTTGAGGTGATCTAAATATGCAGCCAGCATTAAGAACTGCTCTTCTCGCCACAGAAGAGGTAGCCCTCAAGGGCAGATACACAGCAATGAAGTGAGTTATGGTAGATAGTGATATATGTCATAAAAACATAAAAACAACATAGGGAGCAGGACATGGTGGCTCAAACCTGTAGTCCCAGCAGTTTGGAGGTGGAGGCAGAAGGATTACTTGAGCAGAGGAGTTTTAGACCACCCTGGGCCACATGGCAAAACCCTACCTCTACAAAAAATAAAAAAATAGCCTGTGGTCCCAGCTTCTCGGGAGGCTAGGGCAGGAGAAGCACTTGAGCCAGGGTGGTAGAGGCTGCCATGGGCCATGATCACACCACTGCATTCCAGCCTGGGTGACCAAGTGACAAAAACAAAACAAAAACAAACAAAAACACAGAGTAATAAAGGGGGAAGGGAGGGGACGGGAGGGGTGGGGTGGTGACCAGGTGCTTATGCTGAAACACCAATAGTGAGATCAAAACGCTACCACCAAGACCTGTGGATACAACCCAGGCAGAGCCCATTTTCCATGTAGAGTCTTCAGAAAGACTACAGCAGGGTCCCATTCATGTTTTTGGAAAACAAAGTTATTCCTCTCACAGGTAAAGATGAGCATGAGAAGGCACAGGTGATAAAGACACACTGGAGGTTCTTATGGAGATGTGAGCTAATGTTTGCGGGACACGCAATCTAAGGGGTGCCTCAGCACGGGAGGGAGCCTTTAAAGCTCCATCTTCCAACATCCCTGAAAGCTCTACTGGATGAGGTGTCCTCCAATTCATGGAGGCGAGCCTAAAGCTGAGCCTGAAGAGGATGCAAAACGCCCTGCAATTCTTTATGAGGAAACCCCACCAACTGTACAGAAGGGAGGCAGCCATCAGATGGTACTGCCTGTCACACCCTGAAACTCTCACTTGAACCTCTAATCTAGCCTTCATTATCTCAGGAAGCCCCAGGATGGGAACCCAGGGGGAAGAGGTGTAAGAATTGAGTATTTGCTCCCCAGGTACCTAACGTCAGGGACTCCAAGGTGGAATTCTGGTGGTAGGCATGGCAGCTTCAGTCCCCTCTCTCCAGAGGCATGGCCTGTGACCAAGGTCTAAGCCAGTCCTAGGACCAGCACTCCCTTGCCCAGATCAATCTGCAAGGGTGGTCATGCAGCCCAAGCTAACCCAAGCCAACAGAACTTCCCGGCTTCTGCAGAAGCTGCTCAGCCTCAGCATATTTGAGTCTGGGAGGACATAAGGCTGGGTCAGTGGTAACTGCCTTCCCATGCTAGAAGATAAGTGAGCCCAGAGAGGGAGAAACAGAGCCATGGATACCTTGTAACCTTTGGTCTCACACCGCCAATTACTGAGCCACTAAATTTCTATTTCTGCTAAACCCAGTTCTGTCATGGCAACTATAAATGGCCTGCCTCGTCTACTCCCCCAGGCTACACAGAAATCACTGGGTGACTTCTGAAAGACACTGGGCCAGCTCAACCTCCTCTGGGCACCTGCAGTGCCTCCTGCAGGGTTGCTCACTGAGGAGCCTCTGGAGTCCCCCAATGTCACCTAGCTTTCCCTGTGTTGAGATCTTGTTCTTTCTACTCTAAGTTACTCAATGACAGGAGTTTGCACTTTATACTCCCCAATACGTGTCCACAACAGAGCTGGCCACACACCAGCAGGTGCTTGCTATATAGACTCGTGAAATGAAAAGAGGGCAGAGATTCCCATAGGACAGGGAGGAAGATGCTGGAAGGGAAGGCTGGCCACAGCCCCCACCTGGCCTGAGAGGAGAGCTGGGGGCTGTGCAGGGCTAGGGAGAAGCCTGGCATCTGGAGCCAGGTGGCCCCAGTATGTTCCAGCTCCCCAAGAGATCTTAGGAAGCCACTACACTTCTGAGCTTTGTGTATCTTGTCTTGGCAAAAACAAGATCAGGATGAAAATGTGTGATATAGGCTGGGCATGGTGGCTCATGCCTGTAATCCCAGCACTTTGGGAGGCTGAGGCTGGCAGATCACGAGGTCAGGAGTTTGAGACCAGCCTGGCTAACACAGTGAAACTCCATCTCTTCAGAAAATACAAAAATTAGTTGGGCATAGTGGCATGCGCCTGTAGTCCCAGCTACTCAGGAGGCTGAGGCCAGAGAATCGCTTGAACCGAGGAGGTGGAGATTGCAGTGAGCCGATACTGTGCCACTGCATTCCAGCTTGAGTGACAGAGCAAGGCTTCATCTCAAAAAAAAAAAAAAAAAAAAAAAAAAAAGTGTGATACATCAAAATGCACTTTCATTCCATCATTTGACCAATATTTACAGAGTCCTTTCTATGATCCAGGCTATATTCTGGAAACAGTCAATATAAAGCATAATGCAAAAGTTAACTATTTTTAAAGATACTATCAAGTTCCCTCTACTTCCCTCTCCACAAAAGGGACAAGGTAAGGCCTTCCTGTCGAATAGAACAGATGCTTTATTCATTAATTGAATGATTTTTAATCAGACAGCTGAAGATAGTCACAGGGCCCACAATGGGGCATACGAGGACTCTATCATAAGAAGGGGGTCCCTGTCTAAGCCAACATACTCAGGCTATGTACGACAGAAGTCACCAGAGGAGGGCGTGGCCAGCCCAAGATGAGGGCACCAGCAAGCTTTAAACCAGCTAAATATTCCCAAACCCTGATTCTTTACCCAGAATAGCAAAGTTTTCCCATGGGGATGGTGCCAATTCCAGCATTTCTAGTGCCCGGAATGGGTGGGAACAGCCCCCAGCATTAACCATCCTTGGCCTCATGCACGTTTAGTGTGGCGCCAATGACCCTTGCCATTTGTCAGTTGGCTCACATGTCCACCAGTCTGGCTGATGAGAGGAGACACCCTGGGGGTGGGAATGACAGGATGAGCACCTACGCTTGCTAGATCACCTGGACAGGTAGAATCACCCAGTGTCCAAGGGAATCCCAGCCCTTCTCTGCAAGCCTGCACTTGTCCACCACCATGTCCATCCTGGTGGACTTCTCAGAAGGCATCTGGGGGCAGGGAAGCTGATGGTCCTAAAAACAGTATGAAAACTTTGACAGGAGGCCTCCCCCTCCTAAGCACAGGGAGCCACTCAAAGTTACACAGGCCTATGTTCTCAAGCCAGCCTCACCTCTTACGAGTTGTGTGACTTTGAGCAACTTGTGCTTTCTCCTTAAATCTTTCCTGACCTGTAAAATGGGGATGAGACTTGCCTCATAGAGTATGACCATCAAACACATGGGGACTGCCATCCAGCCCTGCTCCTTTGCCCTGGAGCTCTATCCCCTTTTATACCCAGTCCCAAACAAAACCTTCCCAGTTCCTCCCAACAACCCTGCAATGGACAACTATTCTGCCCATTTACAGGTGAGAAAACAGAGATCCAAAAAGATGATATGATCTGCCCAGCAATCCAGTAGCAAAGCCACCTATATTAACACCTCACAGTTCCCTAAGAGCTTATGAATGTATCATCCCCCAGATCCTCCTCACAAAGATCTTAAGGGCTGGAGCCAGAGCTCCAGCGTAGAAGTGCCCAGCCAGCGGTCTGGGCAGTGGCTGTGAGTTCTGCTCTCTACCCATAACGCTCTCTTCTCCTGAGAATCTTCTTCACTCATTTAAGCAAAGCCTGCTTGTGGCAGGAGAACAGACAAGATGTCACCTCTGGGTTTCTACTGACTCAGACCCCCAAGAAAAGTCTGAAGAAGAACATCAAAATGGGGCAAGCAGAATCAGTCTCCAGGGCTGAATGATACCCTGCAGACTCCCATTGGAGAGAAATGGCCGCAGCACCCCAGCATGTCCTACCCTGCAGCTGCCCACGCATGCTCAGACCCTGGTGGGCCATCTCAACACACTATTGCCACAGCAGCTGGATCTGCCACTGTGAGAGCTCCAGTAATGACTACAATGAGCAAAAGGGAAAGAAAACGGAGGCATCTCAAGCCACAAACAAAATCCAGAGAGCAGGGAAAACACTTAGCTTTTAAGAACACTGTGAGAACAAAAAGTAACATTTTAAACTCTTGAATGTGACCTTTTCAGTTGCTGGATAAAGAAAGCACTGAGTTGCTTAGCAGCACCATTGACGAATGTCTTTCTGTTACCTTTCAACACTTCATGGCCGCCCTTTCCCACTCAGGTCCATAAGCCACCTCGCTCAGCTCTGGCCATAACTGCCCACATAAGCACCATCTCCAGGTCAGGCCAAATGTCTTAGCAGACAGGGCGGAGAAGAATCGATTTCTTACCAGGATCTGTGCAGTTCTTGGCTGTCTGTGTCCCATTCACTGGGGCCATCAACTTTCTATTTCTCCACATGTCTGGCAGGAAACGTTTGCTAGAAGCAGCTGTTTTGTGCCCTGGATTGGAAAACAAGTCACAGATGCCATTAGGTCAGTGTGATGGTGGCATCTCCAAAATGACTTTACATTTGTGTATTTGGCTATGTCAGCAACAACCCTGCTTGCCTATTCAGAGCCATCTTTCGGGACTGATAGGATGATTGGAAGTATAATATCACCTGCTTACATACAATGGTCTGTTTCCTAGATCTAGTTCATTGTTTCTAGTCCCAGATGGGTCAGCACCTTGGCCAAGACTGAGGTGGTCTCAGCACCTCACAGGTGCAACAAATGGTTTAGATAGGTGATCCTTTAAGTGTTCTTCCAGTAAAAGACACTCTCAGAGGGCCCCCTACCCTGGAGGAACTACAAATGAATAGTAAAAGTCAGAAGCAGGTGGGCAGGGCGGATGCAGGCTGGCCCAGTGCTCCTCACACTTGAATGTGCACGTGGATCACCTGGGGATCTTGTTAGAATTCAGATTCTGATTCAGCAGGTCTGGGGTGGGACCTGGGATTCTGCACTAACAAGCTCCCAGATGGTGCTGATTCTGCTGGTCCAGGGGCCATACTGAACAAGAGAGAATTTGTGGATGCCCACAGCCAAACACACTTAAATGCCTAAAGGTAATTCCTGATCCAGCAAATAAAAATGATTTTCACTTTAAGACCTTCAAAGTATTCATTTACCTCTCCTGATGTGCACTGCTTCAGCTGGGTAATAATACCTCTTCTGTAATGCTGACATCTAAGAGCCTCTAGGTATGTTGTTATTTCTGGTGTGTAATTGAGGGGGAAAAATAACCCAACACTGACTTGCCCAATTGCAAAGCACCAGATACTAAGATATTCGAAATAACCTTCCTGGGTTTCATTGGAAAGAGCCACCATTTAACCCTTGTGATCTTCAAATCACAAAGTTTAGATTTCGAAAGGCAGTGATTTTGAAAATGTGAAGTTCCACTTGATTTTTACCTATCAGTGTAACCTTAACCCTAAATTGTCTCTGGATGTTGCTGGCCTTCCTAACAGCTCAAGAAGCTACCACCCGCTTTACCTCCATGTCTTGGTCGTTAAATCACCAGCATTTGTTTTATTATATTTTTTTTACATTAAAAAAATGAAACTAAAAGGTTCACAGCATCAACTTAAAATGAAGCGATTAGGGAAGTGAATGTTTCCTGAACTTTACACATGGGGTCATATTCCCCTAAACAGTTCTTTGATTAGTTCCTTCTCTCTTCCCACTCCACCCGAAATTTGTATAGCCTAAACTACTCCCAAATCCCTCTTGCTGGAGAACGGGGCATGGGTCGAGGCTCCACACACCAGCCTTCTCCCTCCATGGGGTTTAAGAGAAGTTGAGAAAGCGATGGTGAAACACGGAAATCCCCCGAGGCAGACTGCCCCAACGCTTTTAGGGTTTGGGAAGAACACCTCAGGGCACCCCTTTGAACTGGGGCAGGGGCGACACGCAGTCACAGTTCCCAGCCTCTGAAACTGGGTTTTCCAGAGACCCACAGCACAATCCTTGCGGCTCTGCAGAATAGGAAAGCGGGTCGCTCAGTTTTGCCTACCCCAGACCAAGAGAATTCATGCCTGCAGCCCGCAGGTGCGCTGCCCATTCCGGGCGCACTCCCGGGACAGAAGCGGTTCTTGCTTTCGTCTTAGTAACACACACCGGCAGCCGCGTCCTCAGCCCCGAGGGGCCGCGCGCAGCTCAGGGGAACCGGCGCCACCGCCCAGAGCGTCCATCAGCCCTCCTGGGCGTGCTCTACCTGCCCGGAGAGGAGGAGACTGGATGAACCCTTGGGACCACGCTGCCGAGGAAGGAGAGGGAAACATCTTGGAGCTGCCCCGAGACTCCCCAGCCAAAGCCCCCAACTCCCCGGGAAGAGAGGACCCGTACCAACACCCACCCAAGCTGCCGAAGAGGCCAGACGCACAGCACACCAGGGCCAGCACCGCGCACACGAAGCCAACTTGCTGCGGCAGCGTCTCTCGCCTCCTGCGAACTTTGAGCGGCCGAAGGGTCCCGCGGAACGCCATCCCGGAGCGCCTGGTGCCGTCCCTGGGAGAGGATGGGGAGCTTCAGCGGCCGGAGTGCTATCAGTGGCCGAGCGGCGCTGGGGCTGGAGCAGGCGGTGCGCGGCTCAGAGGCGAGGAGCTCCAGGCCAAAGCCTCATGGCCCGCGGGAGAGGTCGGCGGGGGAGCCCCTTGGGAAGGTGGGGACGCGCGGCGCGGCCGGAGCTCAGAGTCCCGCGCGCGCCGTGCGCGCTCCGCGCACCATGGCTCCGTGGCGAGAAGGCGACGCCGGCACGGTGGCGCTGGCGGCCCGGGCTCGCAGGGCTGGCGCAGTCCCGGCGCTGGAGCCGCTACCTGCCCGCTCCACCTCGGCCCGCTCGCCCGGCCACAGCCCTGGCAGCAGCGCCGTGGGAGCACTCAGTGCGCCCCTGCACCCCGGGCCGCCGCGCCCACTCTCAGCATCCTCCTCCTCCAAGTTTGGCGGCGGCCGCCCCGGCTGCCAACCGGCGATGCTCCCCTGCTTCCTGGCGAGCCGAGCCCGGGCAGCCGAGTGCGCGCAGCGGGAAGGTCGGCTGGACGCGCCGGACCTGAGACCCTCGCGGCGAGCAGGCTCGACGTCGGCCCTCCCAGGGGCGAGCTCTCCCCGGGAACTTTCTCTCCGGCTCCTCGGCTGCGGGCGCTTGCGTCTGCGAGGCCGTGGCGCCTCCAGCCCGCGGCTCTCGCCTCCCTACTCCTCCCCTCCTGCCCGCCTCTCACCCCCCCGCCCTTCCCAGCACGTGTACTGCACCCGTAGGGCGCACTCCCCGGTGCACCCTTCCCTTCCCCCGTGAGGTCCAACTACTGACCAGTATAATCCCCTTCCTTCTCCCTTTTTCTCTCCCTCCTTCCATACGGAACTGCAACGAGCCCTTCCTTTACCCTCTGAGGCTGCTGCGGAGAGGAACGGGTTATGGCACCGCTGGGGACTCTTAGAACGAGGGTTTCTGCAGAGCTGTCACTCCGGTCCGGGCTCCTCGAACCTCAAGGCGACCCGAAGCGCTCTCCCACCCCCACCCCGCCTCCACCCGGGGCAGGAGGTGCAGGAGATTAATTGCTCGTGCGGAGCTAACAAACAGGCTCGCACCAAGCCAACAGGCACCCGGACCCCCTGGGACCAGTTCCTTCAGGGCTCTCGGGGCGGTTGGGGACCTGCGGGGCCGCGACACAGAACTGCAAAAAAGCTGGAGACCGGGCAGAGAGGGAAATCAGAGAGACCTGCGGGCCCCACCACCGACCGTTGAGCTTTTGATGTTCCTAAGCCTTACAGTTTCTCAAGGCTTTCTGGTTTGGTTTTGTTTTTCTCCTCTCTGGTCGGCTCTCTGGTGTAAACCGCTTTACAGAACAGGGCAGGAGGGAAATTTTCGGAACGGCAGCTGAGGGGTGATACGGGTGCAGGCAGGTGGAGGGGACCCCAGCCCAGGAGGTCTGTGACTACCCCTTCCCGACCGATTCATCGCCACCTGTTTAGTGCCTGCTAGGGGTTAAGTCCACTTAAAATCCTTTTTGGAACAAGTCCAACTCTTTAATTAAATAAATACCCACCGTGTGCAGGCCCTGTGCCAAGTGCCAACCGGAGAACAAAACAATAACAAATGTATGAGACCCAGCCTCTGCTTTCAAGGAACCCTAAATCAAAAGGGAGCAAGGCCCTTAGATAAACACCCGATTCAGGAGGGTTCTAAAAGTCACTGTTGTGTAGAATGTGCAGTGTTCCCTCGCAGCCCCCTTCAGTACTGGGTGGTCCTCAGCAGCATGGGAAGTGCCTAAGAGCTTATGAGACACACAGACTCTAAGATCCCACCCCAGACCTACTGAGTGAGAATGTACATTTTTAACAAGATCCCTTGGAAATCTGTGTGCACCTTCACGTGTGAGAGGTGCTCCCTTTTCAAGCGTGCTCAATGCCTCTAGCTGGTCATCACTGACACACAGTTTCCCCTGGACAGAGTAAGCAAGGATCATTTTGCTTGTGTTTGTCTGCCATAGTGACACAGGTTAGAGGTGCCAGAGGGCCGAGAAGGGAGCAGGCTCACTATTTTTAGCAGCTCCGTTTCAATACCAACAGAGATACTGTAGGCATGAACACAAAACTAATTGCAGTGGAAACCCCTAGAGGAAATGAAATGGAAAAGGCCAGAATTCTGTTTGTCTGTAGAGATGCCTTAACACTGAGTCTGCTTTCCTTACTGGTGACCTCAGCCAAGCATGCCTGCCAGTGACAGAAAAGACACTTTTCATACGTTTGCAGAATTCTCTTCTCATTGACTAAACTGTACAGGGAGGCGTTCAGCAGTAGCAAGCAGAAGACTATAAAACATTGTTAAATATGACACTTGGAGAGCTAGCCAAGGACCCTTGGCAGCAAATTTAAGCCAAAGGGAGAAGTTAAAGTGATAATATGCTGTTGTCCTGTCCAGAAAACAGTGTCAGGGTAGCATTGGTTTGAATGCACGAAAAGCAATGCCAATGAACAAAATGCCATCTTGTGTTACTAGTATTTAATAATTTCTTTCTCTTTTCTTTT